CATAGCATAAAGAAACTTTCAACATAATCAATGAGTATCACTTGCTTTAAAAAAATGCAAGTATCAAACATAAGAAATCTGTGACCATACTTTTCTCTATAAAGCTACTTTAAGATGTCAACCTTAATTTACATTTAGAAATATAAACCTACTCAGAGAAGATGCACAAAATTTGAAGTTTCTATTTAATTTGCAGTCACAGATGAACTTTAAGTATTTGAAAAACACTGAGAACTTTTATTTATAGTGACAGCACTAGGATTTTTAGGCACACAAAGTTTTTTAAATAATGAATTAGGCATACAACAATTGTACAAGTGACAGAATTCCTAAGGTAACTTCCTTTTGTGTGAGATTAATCAATCCCAATTTTAAAGGTAAAAAAGTCTCAGCTTTATGCAATATTTTATCAGGACAGTGTCTAATTGTCAAGAGCTGCTTATTTTCATATATTCTTGCCTAGAGAGAAATCAGTAATAAACCATAAAGCAAGAGGATACTTTCTTGAGCTGTATTTTGGATAACAAAAATACAATTTAATTTGTTTTGGGGAAAAAATATTCTATGCAATTGCAACCCTTTTTTGCTCCTGCTCTTAACAAATCCTTTCTCCAATGAAAAAATAGAGGGTAAAAGTCTGAAAAAAAAAAAAAAAACTATGCCTTCATTCCTCCGAAGCCTTTGAAAGTCTAATCTCTCTAATGCTTGTGTGCTCTGGGTTGCATTCTTATCCTTAAAACAAGCTTCTAGAAAAATGTCAAGGAAATAAAATCTTTTCAGAATTGACAAGAATACTCATTAAACTCTTACATTTCAATACACTCATTTGGAAACAACCTTTATTTCTAGAAAGAATTCAACTGGTCTGTCCCTTAGAGGTGACCAAAAAAAAAATGTTTCTACTACCACTCAAAGACATTTTACTATTCAAATCAAGAGTCTATTCCACTGAGAGTAGTATTTGTCCTATGCATGAGTGACCCCTTCAGGTGCTGTATTGAAAAGACCATTCTATGCAGAGTGGGAAAGGTCCCCCTGACACAATATATGAATGCGAAGAGTTTTCAGACAATTTTCAACAGAGGAATTTATTCAAAAGTACTCTGAGAATAATAATTATGATTTTAAACAAGCTAAAAAATGCTTCTTCTAGCAATGTATCTCATATACCATTCATACATATTAACCAAGAAAGAAATTTTGAATACTATATGCAAGAAACTACACTAAAAATAAGATAACCGTAGTATTCAGAATACAGTATCAGGTCCTATTTCAAATACTTCATGCTCTGACTCTATAAATATACTTGTTTTAGTCGCTAATTGTGTCTGACTCTGTTGTGACCCCATGGACTGTAGACAACCAGGCTCCTCTGTCCATGGGACTTCCCAGGCAATAATACTGGAGTGGGTTGCCACTTCCTTCTCCAGGGGATCTTCCTGACCTAGGAATTGAACCTGCATCTCCCGCATTGGCATAAATACACTAGAATTTATCAAATTATGTATCTGGATCTTTTCTCCCAAAATACGATTACAATAGGGAATATGAATTTCTGTCCTTTAGAAGTTTAATTAAAAATAATTTAATAATTAAGCCAGACTTTTTCAGGAAGACATGATAATCTCATGATCTTCACTGTCAGAGAAAGTGTCTGAAGCTATCCGAACAGCAGGTTGCCAAGGAAAAGCAAGTATTTGGACTTGGGGTAATTCTGAGTTTGTGAATTGTGAAATGAGTTAGGAGCTGGACACAAGCATAACTGCCAAGAATCCAGACTAAATGCCTAAGGCAAGGCTCTTGAACGGGAGTTGTATTTAAACTGACAATACACCAAGTGCATTGGAGAAGGCAGGGTAATAATGACCAGGACCTGGAAAATGGCAATAGCTGTCTGTAGGCAAGCAATGCCATAGACCTGGGGGAGAAGGATAAGATGGAGTGAGGCAATGCCTTAGCCAATGTGGGCAGGTGTTAAGTACAGGATTCAACTTTTTAGAAATAAAGGGTTTGGAGGTCTGGACCCAAATCAGCTAATGTTCAGAGCAAGATTTCCTTTTTGATAGTGCCAGACTACAAACTAGCCATTGTGGAACTCCACAAGGAGCGAGTTAAGGAAAAGCAAGCTGGGGCACTCTCAGGGCTGAACTGAACACCAGACTCAAAGTTGAGGGTGAGAGGGTGATTCCTTATCCCTTCTTCATGGGAAGTTGTAAGGGGTCCATAATAAGCAGCAAAGTTGACATTCATTACCTCAGTAACTATGCCAAATATTGGACCCACCGGACAAGCAGGACAGACACAGAAAAGGGCTTTGATTAGAGCCTCTGAGCGAGGGTGAAAATTTGAAAAGGGAGGGGAGGAATGTGGCATTTGCCTGTGGGGAAGGAGTGATATTACATGCTCTATTTAGGAATTAAAAGCTGATTATTGAGTATTCTACCAACCATAAACCTCAATATCAATACTTTTATATATAAATGGTATAAAAACAATTTGCATATATAAGGATGGTATGGAGATAATAAAGATCTTCAGATTTCCTGAATGATTTTAAATAACTTTTTTAAATTTTATGCTAAAAATATGTCAAATTCTATCTTAAAAATAGTTTTTATGTTAAACAGAGATTACCTAAACTTCTTAAATAGATCATAAGTTCATACCATTAAATTTTGTATAGGCTTGTGTATGTGGTTCTATTCTGCTAAAACATTTAATAATATTTTACTGAAAGTCCAAAGGCATCATCATCAAAAAATTTTGAAGCTAAGCAGAATAAGTTATACACCTATAAGTGTATTTATATTAGGTAAATAACTAAAACAAGACAAAAACTTGTATCAATAGGCATAAAAATGGGTTCAAAATACAAATATGAAATTGAACATCATTAGATATAATGTACTTTCTTAAAGTTAAAAAATAATTCAATACTCTTAGATGAAAAACTTTAAAATGTATAGATTTAGTTCTACATTTATTTGTATATTTAAGAGAATTTAAATAAATGTATAGCTTATAGTAAAGGTGATGTAATATGGCAAAGAGTCACAGATTTTCTGAATGAACAGATACATCATAATTGACATTTTTAAAAAAAGAATTACATTGGGAAATGTGTTCTATAATCCAGTGAAACATATTATAAAGCTTTAGTAATCAAGTGATGTGGTCAACTGTACACATATATGATATTTGTTTTGTGATAAACTCTTAGAAGAAGGACAAACCTATTATTTGACACAGCTAATAACTAAAGTTTCTTTTTTTAAGCAGGGCTAATCAATGAATTATTCTTTGCAGTCAGCTATTCCCACTAACAGAATAATATTAACTAGATTAGTAAAACTGGATTAAAAATCTACTGGATGCTCACCTTCTGAGTCACTCATTCTGTGGCCACAAACTGTGAATCTCAAGGAGACACCTGAGGCAACTTAAAACTGAAGCAATTTGCTCTGTGATTTTCTATCCCTTTCCTTCTTTTCCCTCCATGACCTTTTCAAGAAAAATTAAAAATCTTTTTCAGTAAAAGAAAGCCTGGCCTAGAAAATGCTCAGATCCTCCCACTTCTGCCATGAACTCCAGGAGACAGAAAACAAACTGGCTCAAGGAGAGTCATTATTTCCAGGGTAAACAGAAGCTGTTTCAGGGACAGCATGTGTCATCAGAGCAAATCTCCTTATCAGCCAACCTTTGCCTAGTCTGGAAGGTAACAGGAAGCAAAGAGAGAAGCTTAAAGACAGACTTTTAAACACTTGCAGTAGGAGAAACAATTCCCCACAACTTGTGTTCAATTCTTGTGATAAGGAAACATACCTTACAATACAGACCAGTCAATGAAGCACTCACATTGCCAACCCCATCTGGCCAAGAGTTCCACCCATTTTTAGTGAGGAAGAACCCAATAACCCGGCTAGTTATTTGTATTTTGTGAACTTTATAGTTAAACTAAATTAACTATTAACAGTGTATGTCTTTTACTCTGTTGTACATAATTACTTGAACATCAGTTATTCTGAGCTAACCATTTTATGAGCTGTAATAAATTTTCAAATAGAAATACCTCTTTCTCATGAGGTAGAAGCTATACTGCTATTCAAATCAAGGTTATATTTTAAAAAAACACCCCACAGAACAAGAAAGCATCACCTTTACCACTGAGCCATCTGGGAAGCCCCATGATAACATCAACATTCACTAAACTATTGAGATTGAGTAACTTTAGTTTCTTTAAGTGCATGACTGTGAGCACATGTGCACAATCACACAGGCAAACACTAACACATGAATACAAAAAAAGCAACAAGGGAAACTGGAAAAATTATGTTAATAAATTATTGCAATACATTGCGACTTCTGGGCTTCCCAGGTGACACTAGTGGTAAAGAATCTTCCTGCCAATGCAGGAGATGCAAGAGATGCAGATTGGACCCTTGGGTCAGGAAGGTCCCTTGGAAGAGGAAATGACACCTCACTCCAGTATTCTTGCCTGGAAAATCCCATGGACATAAAAGCCTGGCGGGCTACAGTCCATAGGGCAGAAGAGTTGGACACAACGAAGTGACTTAGCATGTGTGCATGTACACAAATTAAAATACCTGTGTACATTTGATACAGCAGAAGCAAGTAAGCTGGACTTGGCAGTTACCGAAAAAAGAGATTCCAAGCCCACAAGTCAAATGTAGCAAAGAGGAATGTAACACTAAAAACCCTAACTGGAGACTTCATGCCATTGGAAGGGGATTCTCCCTCGGTTATTATTGGGGGGCAGGGGAGAGGTCCCTTACTCCACACACTTGTTGCAATGGACCAGAGGTCCCATGCAGTGGCAGTACACGAGGAAGACTCCTCTGGACTTTCTTCTGAACTGGTTGGTATAGACATGTTCCCCATTCAGACTTCCATAGGACCCTGGCAATTGCTGCACTTGCTTCAGATAACCCAACAGAATCTTGGAAACCAAAGGTCAAGGACTCGCTTCTAGAACCCACCTGGTGGACACTGCCCTCCGAGGACTTTCTACCTCCCAGCTGGGAGCTTCTAGGCCCAACCCAGCCTCAAGTAACATCCTTGCTTCCAGCTCTTTCCTCAAAGAGTCCGAGCTACTAGAAAACAAAATTGAAAAGCACAGGTTATTTCAAATAACTTCTACTTTTGCCTTCTAAATAAACTTCCCAAGAACACCGGAGTTTGGCTACAGGTTTGGACCTGGGTAAAAATAATAGAAGAAAAGCAAAAAAAAAAAAAGACAAGTAAATTAATAAATTATGTTGCCTGCAAATAATGTGCAAAAGTAAGGGAAAGAGTATTTTTGCCTCTTTCCTATCATTCTGTTTCTCAGTTACATTTGCTTCACATAATACTCTTTCTCTATTTCACTCCATTTTTCTCATATTTTCATCTCTCTGTCTCTCATTCATGACTGCAGTGCTCTAAAGTACTCCCATGTTAAGTACGGGGCACTAACAAACTGGCTAGGAATCTTTAGAAGTGTTTGCCAATAACTAATTCAATGTCTTTTAAGTTTTAGACTGTTTTGGGGGGGAGTTATGTATAATAAATTTTTCTAATTTATTCTCAACAGTGTTTGGCAATAGATATTCCAATGGTCTTGAAGAAATTCTGGTCAAAGCACCATATCTCTCACCCCTAACTGGTGTTTATAATTTAGATGATAAAGTAATCCTTTTAATTTGCAAGAGCTAGTTCCCTGTCTTTTTCAAACTTACTTTAGACAGAGATGCTTTAATTTTTTTCAATTTTCCAAGCCCCTGAACTGTTTAACTTATCAAGTTTTAGAGCGCTACAATGTGAAGTCACATTTAGCAGATGTTCATCTCGAGGAGCTCCAGAACTTCATAAATTATTATAAATTAATTTGCTTATTTCAGAGTTTGACAAAGCAGCTCCTGGGGTTTTCCATGGTCTGTGCTGGAGGAATAGAAGACTGAGAAAAGCAGCAGGTTGGGGTCCTAGGAAAAAAGAGCGTCTTCTGTGTTTCAGTAAGGGGCTGTGTCACATAAAACTTATGGCGGCTGTTAAGTGGCCGAGCCAGCTGCATCCCATGTGCCACAAATGCTCTGGCCTCTTATTTCTCCCATTCGGTTATTGTGTCTATAAATTCAATGGGCCACCTGTGCAATGTGCTCATCCAGAAGAGCCCCAGAGGAAGCATTAATGTATCAAGGCTCATAAAGCACAAATCCTTAAATGTAAAAACGGACACTTTCATCCTCTCCAGGCTACATCTATATAGATTTCTTTTTAATGAAAAATAAAAAAGGTTTATTTCCTGGTTATAGGATAAAGTGCCTATGAACGGTGTTATGCAATTAACAACTGCAGTTTTTAAATCTCTCCTTGTGGGGCCACCTAATTTTATTTGCTGAAACCATGTGTCAGTCTATGGTGAGAAAACCCATCCCTATCAGTAACTCACTGTTCAGTTTAATCATGAAGATGACTCATGCCAAGGGCCTGGCAAGCATCATTTCGTACAATGAACAACAACAAAAAGTGCAAACTTCAACTGAACATGTCTTTTTTTTTTCCTTTCTATTCTTTTTTTAAATTAGCTTCCCTGAAAATTTGTTGCCTACTGGCAGATCTAATGAAGCCATTTCTCTATGTTGTCTCTTCACTCTGACAATGTTAGCCAAACACATTAGCAACATTTTGCACATTCCCCTATTTCACCTGGAGGGTTGTGACTATTTATCTCTATCTCCCTCACTTTATGTTGTAAACGTCTAACAGTGGTCCTTAATGGTCGTTGGAGGCAGTGAGTGGATATTTAGAGATCTCTTTGTATATACACAGTCACTTTCCAGGCACTTCCTTCCCCATCCTCAAACACTAACAGAACACAGGAAAGCAGAGAGTAGAGAATAAAGGAAGAAAGGTCATGTGTATTTTTGCAAAGTTCCCCGCTGTAGGGAGGAGATATACCTCATTCACATTTGTATGCATATCAGTAACCTGGCACATCACAAGATAAGCTCTGAATGAATGAGTGGGACAAGATAAAGCAAAAATTTTTCATTCAAATAATTCAATATTAATAATTTGAGTCAAGTCATTTATCAAGCCCATTCTGGCAAATATACTTATATATATGTGTGTGTACATACATATATATTAATATACATATTAATATGCACATATATTGCTGTATTATTTTCTAATCAACATTTTTACCCTCTAAACCAGTAGTTGGAAGAGCAGAGAAGTTGATAACATTTAGGGAAAGAAAAGAAGTAGTATTGATGAACAAGAACAAGCCTAGTACAATGTACAGAAGACAAAGAAACTCTACAGTTTAATGACTCTGTTGGGCCTCAGGTTCCTGCATAGGAACCAGAACACTTACCTTATGATCTGTGCTAAAAAGCTGAACCCAAGCTGCTGTACACGCTCATTGTCCTCACTGACAAAACATTAGAAGTTCTCACCAAAATACAAGTATTTAAGAGGAGGGAATGAAAGATATATTTTGTGGCACCCCCTAGGTGATCAGGGTTGATTCCTCTTATTCCCAAGGAGTGAGGAGAAAGAAATACATCTGATATTCAGTCACTTAAGAGAGTTCAACTTCAGAGCATGCAGGAAAGATTTAACCTTACCAAAGACAGGGCTGTACTTTCCCCTTGTCTCCTGAAAGATCATCTCTAGGAATAGTGTCTTTGTTAACCTGGGGGCTTTGGGCCACACCAGACAATCTAACCATGTGACTTACAATGGAGTTTTGGGCCATGTGATATCTACTACCTTTAGAGGGGCTGGAGACTAAAGGTCAGACACTCGGGCAGTCAAGTTCACAATGAAACCCAATAACAACTAGGGACACAAGCCTCAGGTGAATTTGCCTAGTTGGCAGTACTCCATGTGTATCATCACATATCACTGCCAGAAGAGTACCATTGTCCAAGACTGTACCAAGAGAGGATAAGCAGAAGGTCCTTGTTTGGAACTTTCCTAAATTCTGCTCCGTGAATCTCTTTCCTTGGCTGATTTCTCAGCTGTAACTAACTGTGAGCCTAACAGTTTAAACCCAAGGGTGGTCTCTGAATACCCAGGTTCTGCAGCTAAGATCAGCTAAGATCCCTAACTTTGTACAGAGCTTCTCTGATTTGATGGTAGAATTAGGGGAGTCACAGACTCTCAGGTCATTGCAACACAGGGATTAAATGAGCAACAGAACTTTCCAAAATGAGAAATTTCTTGTATACACTGCCATTGGCTACAAACACTGTGTGGTGCATTAGGAAATCCTCATTTACTGTCAGCAGTGCCTCAAGTGGTGACAGCAAACCAGAGCTTCACAACTTTAGAAAAACTATCTCCCTAAACTGCTTCTCATTTACTTTGAAAACTTACAGAATTATTTTCAAATTGCATGAAAAGTAAACATATTACATTGTTTTCTAAAAAGCTATATATGACAAACCCACAGCAAGCATTACCCTCAATGGTGAAAAATTGAAAGCATTTCCCCTAAAATCAGGAATAAGACAAGGGTGCCCACTCTCACCACTACTATTCAACATAGTTTTGGAAGTTTTTGCCACAGCAATCAGGGCAGAAAAAGAAGTAAAAGGAATTCAGATAGGAAAAGAACTGAAACTCTCTCTGTTTGCAGATGACATGATCCTCTACATAGAAAATCCTAAAGACATCACCAGAAAATTACTAGAGCTAATCAACAAATATAGTAAAGTTGCAGGATATAAAATTAACACACAGAAATCTCTTGCATTCCTATACACTAACAATGAGAAAACAGAAAGAGAAATTAAGGAAACAATACCATTCACCATTGCAACAAAAAGAATAAAATACTTAGGAGTATATCTACCTAAAGAAACAAAAGACCTATACATAGAAAACTATAAAACACTGATGAAAGAAATCAAAGAGGACACAAACAGATGGAGAAATATACCGTGTTC